AGAGATGAGATGCTGAACTGAACTGGAGATACACTTTCTGTTAGTATTATCATATCAATTTGACTAGTGGGTGAGAACTGCCTCAGATAGGCCACGTTGAAGGCACTTGCATGGCTGGACACTAAGCCATTTCCCTTCGCTATAGTTATGCAGCCTATAAAGAGAGTAATAGTGCCTTTACAGTACTTATCAGCTAGATCATAGATACTATGGTTAGATATAACGTACCTAAAACGGCGATAAAGGACAACACACTGATCCTCATCTTGTTTAGGTTTGTCTTGCTGGGTGGGAGGGTTTAAATCTTCAAAGATATCAAATATAAGGTTGATCTATAATGATATTCATACATACTCTCAACTATTTGCAATGCTTTTGTACTACAACCTACAATTGAATATAGCAGTATCAAATTACTTGCAGCATCTAACATAGTTAAAATTCTAGCTCTGTTTGTTGGTGCACAAGTCTACTGTACTTATATCATCAATTAATCATTAAATTGCATAGCATAGTACGTCAATAATCATAGTATGACAGTAATTGTTGTATTTATAATAATAATTTGCAACCGACAAAGAACATGAAATGCAGATGTACACAACGTAAGCTATCAATCATCATGAAATATAGAATTTGCACTCAGTTTGCCTATAATCTAATATTCGTGCCTTTAGTTACTTATAGATCTAGAGTCTAGATGCAACTGATGCAGGTCTACATTCATAATGAGTAGAGTTGTAAATGCCTAGCCCATACTACTATTACTCTAGTAGGAATACAACGTGTTTTTGAACAGAAATTAATTTGTAAACAATTTAGAGTAGCTGGCATATGTTTGGTCACGTTGTTTGTCATTTGTGGTAAGTTTATGAATATCACACACCTATAACGTAGACATATTGTTTTAGATATAATGTTACAGATTTCCTAGTCATGTATGTAAACTATATACATGGGATGACCCCTAATTCTAACTGAAGATGAAACAGCAGGAGTAAACATAAGGTTATCTTGGCCTACTTTTACACTACACTGCACTTGTTTGAATGCATGCCAACAGCAATCAATAGCTTATGTATACATCTGCATATACACACAATAAAGAGGTCACTAGACTGGCATGCACTGACATATACAGGAACTTAACTGCCTTCAACTCAACAAAACAGTTGGCTTGACAGAAGAAAGTACACACTGGTACAGGAAGTTGGTAGTAGATCTAATAATCCTATTGACTCATATAAAAACAAACATTTACATAGACACAATGCACACGAAAGTAATGTTCTGCAAAGTAACACACATGATGATACACTATTGTAGTCATGCCAGTAGTAGTGTCCACCATTTACTTTTGGTCATATGTACTTAAATTTGATGACCAGGACGAGGTGTTGGTTTACTTGGAAGAATCCGTATGTAGATTGGCCCATCAGTTACTGTATCGTATATAGGCTCTTGTACTGAATCTGTTTTGTGATATTTTCTATGTATCACTAGTATTCCAAAGGTTATAGTACACACTACACAAATGGCAATGGTAATAGCCCCACCACTTATAATGAGAGGTATTTTGGCTCCATTAATCTCATTACCAGTTGGTGTGGTTGTAGTTCCAACAGTTGAACAATTAAATGATGAAGGAGTATATAGTCTAGCAGACAAAACAAAGTGGGAATCATTGTCATATTGTTGTAATAATGTTCCTGTTATGTAGCCATATCCTCCAAACTTATCAAATCCATAAGCGTTTACATATATCCTGCCATTAGGATTACTATGAGCAATAGTATAGGAACCACTGGCTGTAGTATTGTATCCATATCCAGTGATAACTCCATTAGTATCTCTGATTGGTGTCCAGTTTAATGTGGTAAGAACACCATTAATGATTATATCACAATTGAAATAAGAATCAGCAGGTACTGCTATACTATAGAAATTAGTCGGCACATCAGGTAGTGTAGTGAATGTAACAGAGTGAGGATACTGACTGATGGGTGGAACTGTCATTAATAAAGGATCGCCATTAAAATCTGGAAAATAATGACGACTAAATGCCAGTTCAGCAACATAGCAAGGTTCACTACACACTAAAGTACAAAATTTTCCTGACTCGGTATTAATCGTTGTAAAGTTACCTTCGTTCTCTAAGTATTCATTAATAGAATAAGAATTGTCACAGGTTACATTTAGCTCAGTGTCATCATCGGATGCTAATACTTTGAACTGTTGTCCAGCAGCAAGATCGTAGAGTGGAGTAAGAAGAAACTGTGTTCCCCAATTGATAGTAGGTGGTATCTGAGTACTGATAGGATCACAAGCAACAGTGTCACCTTGGACTCTAGTGCAGTCGTGTCCCCCTACAACAGTCAGTGGATGATTAGAGACAATCTTTGTTCCACTGAGATCAACATTAGGTGCACCTATCAATAAAGTCTGCAATGAATGAAGTGTGATGGTATGACTTGATCCAGCAGCAACATTGATAGTAGAACTGGTAGATGATTGAGGATTATCAGGTAATTGTACACCATGAGTAGGAGTGATAGTCACTGTAGTATTGTCCCTGCAACCAACAAGAAGTACTTGACTATAATAGTCGGACAAGGGAGTATTAGCTTTCTTGTGATCGTTTGATATACCATAATAGACATATTCCTGATCAGGTTGATGTTCAGTGTATTCAATGCATGGAAGTGCAAGATATGTTGAACGAGGGCCTATCGTCCATCCAACCAATACAACAGAGATAGGTTTATCAGGAGGTGATGTAACAAGGAGACCAAGTTGACGATAACCATAGGTAGTCTCACGAACCTGTAGAGTTGATGGTAAAGTCACAATAGCAGGAGTACTTCTTGTAGTAGTTCCATTGTGAATGGATATATTAAGAGATGAGATACTGAACTGAACTGGAGATACACTTTCTGTTAGTATTATCATGTCAATACGACTGGTTGGTAAAAATTGCCTGAAAAAACCAACTTTGAATTCACTTGCAACATTACTTTGAGCAGTTGTCACTAAATGAAACAAAAAATCAATAAAATCTACTTAACATGTGAATTACCTTTAACGAAAATTGTGATAAAAAACAGCACCAAGCTAATAACAGCCATGTTAGTGTTTACAGATTATTGTTTATAGTTATTTGTTGAGCTTATATAGACAGTGAGTATTTACATTAGGGAAAACAACCTTCCCAAAACAAAAAATAATTATTTCGCAAAGGTCATCTCAGTCAATATTGTAAATAAGGAAAAGTAAATAAGAAATAGTACATCCATCATCAGGGTGCAAACAATAAAAAACTGAGATAAAGTAAACTTTAAACTAAACAAAGCAAAGTACATAACAACAACAACAAAGTCTCTTGCTTAAATTAAAACCTCTTCTACTTCATCCTCATCATTATGCTTGTTGGTATGTATTTCATTTGATAAAAGTGGTAGGGGGCGAGCAACATTTGGAGGCAGTGGTGGAGGCCTTCGTTGAGAATCAGCCCGAACCCTGTTCCCAAAATGATTCATGTTATCATAGTTTGGGTGAAATGCAGTCAAGTTGTACGGCCTTCGAATTACGTAATGTCCCGAGCTTTCCTGAAGCCGACTGCTGCTCTCATTCAAATTGTGCTTCTTTTTCCTCTTGCAATGTCTTCCACAGCAGAAGCTAGCTACAAGAATATAAGAGCACAATACAAGAGTGAGTAGAACTCCTGATATTCCAATAACATAAGCTGTTGTGGGATTGAGTAGTGTATTCATAAAATCACTGACAGTTTGTGTAGGAGTTATGATGACTGAACTGCTGCTAAGCATAACACTGAGAGTGCTCGTGAGTGCGCTACTAGGCACTGGCATTGAATCATAAACAATGATCACTTGAGAATGTTTTAGTGATACATCAAGCCCACTATTAGATAGAATTATTAGCTTTCCAGTCATGTTTTGCTGGTTGCTATCATTAGTAAAGGAGTTCAGTTTTACATCAACAGATTGCTTCCTTACATATTGATTGAATGAAAGTCTTGTGACATTTAAAGCCCTACCTATTAAAAATCCCCAGATTAATGTTTTTTATTGCCAGTATATTTTATACCTTGAAAATCATTCAACTGTAACAACAAAACAATGTTATTGCTTCCTGGAAGACATTTTATCTCTGCACCTGTAGACAAAATATTGAGTGCAACTGAATTGTCACTTTCTGTTACTGTCACTCTCTCCTCTGTAAAACCAATATCAACACCTATCATAATGTATATGAAGGAATATAATGATTAATGCTGTTATGATTTACCTTTAGTGTTTTGTATTGTAATTGCTGTTTCAGCTAATGCAGGAGATGGGTCATCACTCACTGCTGCCTCAGCTAATACTAGTAAAGGTTCATTCCCACCAAACTGAGCATTGCTAATTGTCACATTGATTGTCTTTTCTCTTTCTCCAGCAAGAAATTTAACAAGTGTGTAATCTATAAAGAAAGAAAAAATAAAAATTCCAATGTTAATTTCATTTGCTATCATACTTAAGTTAATTGCCAGACGTGTGTTAAAGCTGATACTATATTCATTGATTCTTTGAATAGTGAGAGTGAATTGATCAGAGCCATTGAGGAGACAGTACTCATCAGACAAGAAACGAAGTGAAGGGAAAAGAGGATTAAGTAAAGTACCAGCAGCATAGCCGTATGCTCCATCATCATCAAGATTATAAGCAGTCACATAGAGGCTACTCATTGAAGTACTTGGAGCTATTGTAGTCATCCCATTGAATAAACTAGTGTACCCATATCCTACTATGACTCCATCTTTATCATAAATTGATGACCAGTTTGGAGTGACCAGACTTCCATTGATGACTAATGTTCCATTGAATGACTCCCTTGCTGGTACAGTAACAGTGTATAGAGAAGCTGATGTAGTGAATGAACTCAGTGGTACCATTGTATTGGGGTATTGGGTAAGAGGGGAGACTGGGATTAGAAACTGTGCACCTTCTGTTGTACCATAATGAGCGACATAACATCTCTGACTGCAAGTGAGGTAGCAAAATGTAGTAGATTCATTAAAACTGTATGCTTCACCAACTGAAGAAAGCAATGAAGTAGTTGTATTTTTATCACAAGATCTAGTAATAATTGTATTTTCTTCTGATGCTATTACTGTGTATAGCTGATCCGCATTGATAGTTTGCAATGGAGCCAGCAAGAATCTAGCTCCCCAGGCAATGGTGGGAGGGATTTGAGTAGCAACAGAGCCACATTCGTATTCCTCAGTACAGTCTTCTCCTCCTCCAAAGACACTAAGTGGGTGATTTGATGTTACCATAGTGCCTGTGAGGTCACAGTTTATACTTGTCATTAGTAAAGTCTGATGAGAGTGTAGTATTGAGGTGTGATTATCCCCAGGAACAACTACTAATGTTCTTGTGTCATTCGACTGTGTGTTTACTGGTAGAGTCAGGTTACATGATGGTCGTATAGTGAACGTAGTATTATCTCTGTTACCAACTAGCAGAATCTGACTTGTGTAATTATTATTAGAGTTAGAGTTGCTTATGGAAACACCAAAGTAGCTGTATTCAGTAGTGGAGGAGGCATAGTCATGATAAGGGAGGCTTAGAAAGGTGAAGTGAGGCACAAATGAGATTTTTGTTTCTCCACTGGCTCCAACAATGGACACTGGAGATGAAGAAGTAATATGAAACCCAAGATCCCGTGAGTTGAAACTTGAGTCCACCACTGGATGGAATGGCAGAATAATGATGCTAGGATTATTCCTAGTAACTGATGTACTGTAACTGTAACCAATCCTTGACACAGTGACATGAGCACTGTCCTCCTGTGAATGCACCAACAGCCTTAGAGTCGTTGAATATGTAGATGGCATGAAACCAATGTTAAATTCAACCCCATAATGAGAGAAATTCTGAGATAAGACACCTACATAGGTAGACAGAATAAATCAAAATACACTCTTAATTGTAAAGAACTGACTCTTAGCTGTGAGAATGATACTTAAAAGCAACACTCTCATTCCCAGCATCTTGGCTCCTTTCTTCCCCTCCTCTTGCCTCTCAGCTCACAACAGTTATTATAGTAGTTGCTCTACTCACTATATCTCCCAGTAAATCACTCTACAATCATTACTAGACACAAAAGTAGTAGTAGAGTCTAGTATTGATAGCGGACAGTTGCTGTGTGAAGTGTAATAGTAATTTGGCACATAATTTGATTGACTGTACTCATGAGGTTTAATGTTTAAATAAGAATAATAATTAGAGCCTGCATGAGTAGAATAACAAAGTCTTCAATAATACATTTGATGCTAAATGATGCTATTAATATTCTTCGGATAAGTATACAAATCAATAATAAAATCGATGCTAAATGATGCTATAAATATTCTTTGGATCTTAAGTATACAAATAATTAAAAATTGATGTGGTCATTGGTCACCAGAATTATGTCAATAACATTGGTTTTGCTTTAGGCAGTTTTTCCTTAGGCTCCTTCTCTTCATCTGCCTGTCATGTACATTATAATTAACATAATAACTTGACACACATACTTGATTGTGTACCACATTTTGTGGAGTTACTGGTTTGCATTCTTCAATTTTAAAAGATCCCATTTTTTCGGTTACTATAATAATAATAATAATAATAATAATAATAATAATAATAATAATAATAAATTAATAATAATAAATAGTTATCTACTCTACCTTTCTCTACATCATCAAGCTCTTCTAGTTCTCTTAACAAATCGTCTTCATCAATTTCAAGACCTCCAAACTGAGCTGTAGAAAAAAGTCATAAAATAAGTAAAAGTTTGAGTTAATAGTTACAATACATAATGAAGGGTAGCTTGATTGCATTTTCTAATACATATACATTGTACATGAGCTGCTATCCAAGGCTATAGCCCATGGTTTTTTTCAAAAAATGGTTCCAAAATCACCCCAAATTTTTATTACATTTTCTGATACATATTGATGTCCTTATGCTGTGTAGAAAGTTTCAGCTGATTCCGACTTCAATTTTTCAAGTTACGGCCATTTTAAGAAAACGCTAAAATTCTGAAAAATACCCAAGGCTATATAGCCCATGGTTTTTTTCAAAAAATGGCTCCGAAATCACCCAAAATTTTTATTACATTTTCTGATACATATTGATGTCCTTATGCTACGTAGAAAGTTTGAGCTGATTCCAACTTTAATTTTTCAAGTTATGGCCGTTTTAAGAAAATGCTAAAATTCTGAAAAATACCTAAGGCTATAGCCCATGGTTTTTTTCAAAAAATGGCTCCGAAATCACCCCAAATTTTTATTACATTTTCTGATACATATTGATGTCTTTATGCCGTGTAGAAAGTTTGAGCTGATTCCGACTTTAATTTTTCAAGTTATGGTCATTTTAAGAAAAAGGTAAAATTCTAAAAAATACCCAAGGCTATAGCCCATGGGTTTTTTCAAAAAATGGCTCTGAAATCACCCCAAATTTTTATTACATTTTTTGATAAATATTGATGTCCTAATGCTGTGTAGAAAGTTTGAGCTGATTCCAAATCCAATTTTTCAAGTTACAGCCATTTTAAGAAAATGCCAAAATTCTGAAAAATACCCAAAGCTATAGCCCATGGCTTTTTCTAAAAAATGGCTCCAAAATCACTCCAATTTTTTATTACATTTTCTGATACATATTGATATCCTTATGCTATGTGGAACATTTGAGCTGTTTTGGACAAATAATTTTTTGAAAAATTGACAGTTTAAGTTATTGATAAAATGTAGACTAATTGGTTCATAAACTTACTAGCAACAACATCAGATATATTCTCTCCTTCCTCTAATAGCTAACATTATGATACTAAACAATGAAAAAGATTATCATCATCCATATTATACTAACATCTTGCAAGTCATCAACTATTTTTTCAGCATCTTCTACTTTCAGTCCTTCTTTCACCCGTAGTCTACGAAGTACCGAAGCTCCAGTTTTATAAGCTTCAAGGATCTAAATGTCATGCTTAATGTGAGAAGCCATATTCATTCATTGAGAAACCTTAATGTCAGTTTCAGCGGATTTAATCTGGTCCAGGACTGTCTCAAGGTTAGTCAGTTTTTCTTCAAAATTTGATACATTTCTTGAAATGACTTTCATTCTTCTCATGAGAACAAGGGCCTGAAAATCAAATTAGTCATCATAACTACAAATAAATAGAGTCAAACCACCTCTTTCTTTTGGCCCTTTCTTACTAGCCCGATGCTTCTACCTTTTAATCTTTAATAGTATAAATAACAACAATTAAAGTACAAAAAATAACTAATAACACACTTTTGTATTTCTTCGTTTCCATTGTCTATTTTCTTTTGCATCCCAGTAATTGTCCTCATTATACTGTAATAGACAGTAGAGGTATATTGAGATTATAAATGAGGAGTTATACCTAAGTATTCCAACGTCGATTTCACTCACTGGTGTTGCCTTACCACTTGGACTGGTAGCAAATTTTACTATGACCTACACATGCTCTAAAATTTATCAGCAAAACATTCATACCTCATCTGTATCTGCTGATATGTGACCTCTTTTGATCTTCTGTCCCTCGAGAAGTTGCAACTCTAAAGCATGCAAGCACCTATCATTTACTCCTGCACTGGTTACGTTTCTAAGGAGGTCTTTAAACTGAGGATGTGTCATGAGGCAATCAGTAGAAATATGAATAACATTTTGATGATGCATAGAGACTACAATTTCACATAACTCCTATAAAAATACATCTGATTAGTCACTTCAAGCCACACCCATTACCTTTATGGCCGGCACTAATACATAGACTACATCTTGAGATGACTGATCGGGAGATTTTTGCCATGCCAATTTCCATGCCCATGTCACTGGTGTTGACATTAATCTCAAACTCCATTCGGTCCATCCCATCTCATCAAAACGATAACTATCCAATTTCCTTATCTCTCCTGCTCTTTCCAGTACCTCTAGAACTCTTGGTAGACATTTTGGCTCAAACTGATGCCATGCTAGTCTTTGCGAGAGCTCTCTCTTGGTGAATGTCCACTTGTGAAGCTCTTGACTGCTGGAACGAATGAGAGCTCGCCAGAACTTCACTCTATCATCTGAGAGGGTAGGCTCATGACTTGGAGAGAAATCAGAGACGAGAAAATGCATCCTTGCCTCGTCTTTCCATTCTTCCGGAACTGTAAAACCAGACGCCATTTTAATATTTATAACTAGCAATTGACTAGCCCCTCCTAACAACTGTGCGTGCTGCTCCTATGCTTGCTAGCGCGCGCGTAGCTAGCTAGCTCATAGATACTAGCTGCAGAGAAATGGGGCGGATACAAGGACTAACCAAGTACTTGGACTCTCCTTCATCCCGGGCCCATTGGAGAGATACAAAATTGTCTAAATGTCCTATAGTGCTGGATGGTAAATGCTTAGTACATCATTTACCTAGTGATTTTGATTGGAAGTACGGTGGTCAGTATCCTGCAATAAGGGACTCTTTGGAAAATCTCATCAAGGCATTACTGGCCCAAAATGTGAGCCCCATACACGTGGTCTTTGATGGTGTGTACCAAACAGATAAAATGGACATGCATAAGGAAATAAGGCAAAAAATTCAAGACACTATACTGAACGAATTGCAAGGTCTAGATCTAGATGAATACCAGAAAAAGAATGTGCGTTCACCACTGGTAGCAAACACATTTCATAAAGTATTTAAAAATTATCAAAGTGAAGGAGTTAGGGTGTATCCTGCAGATGGAGACTGTTATCCCCTTGCAGTCTCTCTTGCTAATACGTATGATTGCTATCTAGTTGGTGATAATTCTGATTATTTCATCACACCACTTCAGAAGGGATACATACCTTTATCTAAACTTGCATGGAGTCAGCCAGGTTCTCCTGTCATAGGAAGAGTATTCAAGAGAGATAGTTTTATTGCCAGTCTAAGTAAGGAGCCTGATCTTATCTATACCATTCCAGCTTTAGTTGGAAATGATACCCTACCTAATCTGGTAGAGGAAACAGAGCTCAAAAGTTTGGTTAGATGTTATCGTGGAACACTTTCAGAAGCGACGATCAAATTTCTTCAAGAAAAGTGTCATGGTGAGCTGATTGGCTTAAAGGGTCAAATTCTATCACTTGCCAATGGCCTAGAAGTGCTGAAAAAGTTTGAGCAGAGCTTTGAAAAAGCAAAGAAAAAGTACAATGTAAATAGTCTCCCTTTTAATTACGAGGAATTTAAGATATCTATTGCTTTTCGATCTGATAATTGGAAATCTATACCACAATGGATTGTTCAGCAATATAAAGAATTTATGTTTTCACCTTCGTTGCTAGCTGTTTTTATTAGTGGAGTAAATTTACTTAACATTATTCCAGACGATTGTACAACATGGTCAAAACCAGCTAGCATGATCATCAGTAGACCAATAAGGCTAGTTATTTATGCAGTTTTGCGTAAGGGAAGGTATGTCACAGAAATTATCAGGCAAGGTACGAAGCTATTAGAAGATCGTATAGGTCGTCATGGCCATATGGAGATAGATGTAGAATTAGAAGAAATGAAATTAGAGCAAAGGGAGAAACGACGAAACATAATATATGAAACATTGATGTGTAGTTCTCATGCTCTGTCTTTGCTTGAAGAAGAATGGCACTTACCAGTTGCTTCTGTCATCTTTTGGGCAAAATCGGCTGCTATACCAAGAGGCGACATTTATTTAAAGGCACTTGTCCTATCTTTCGCTAAATGCTTTCATAAATCTGCTGCTACATTTACTCCAGCCTTTAGTCTAGAAGCTCTTCATCTTTATGCTCAGTGGCAGTGTGTCTATTACGATGCTATACTGCTTAACCAAGTATTGGCTCTACCACTACCCTATCTGTCACCTGCTGACTTGTTTGACGGTAAACTTGTCACATATTATTCACAAATGAGTCATGATAAGTTTCGTATAATTCTTGATAATACCAGTAGAGAAATTTTGCATCTCTACACAAAGATTCTTAAAACTGTTAACGAAAGCATTTGATTGCTTACACTCTGTTTAACAAAGACATTATACTAGTACACATATTAGTACTTCCTCAAACATTTAATCTTATTTTGTTATACTTATTATGCTCTCAGTTACATAAAAAATAAAGTGCATTAAAATGTTTTTAGTTACGTAGATCCAGCAGCTCTACAAATGAAAATTCAAAATTAACATAAAAAGGAAATGAAATGTGTGTACATGTACCTCAGTAGTGTCTCCAGTGGTGAAAGTGGAGTGCTAGGATTTGATAATGCAAGGTTCTAAATTAAAAATAATTCATGAAAAATTGCTAAGAGAATGGTTATAGAGGCAGGTTTTCCCACAAAGCATGCTAAGTGAGCTAAACAGCATGAGCTTCATGAGCTGACAAGTACTAGAATACAGTACATGGAATTCGGAGCAACTTTTAAAAATTCATTAAAAAATTCAAACTTGATCGGAATCAGCTCAAACTTGAAACATAACATAAGGACATGTATATGTTTCAGAAAAAGTTATAAAAATGGAGAATCCTCCCCTTTTCATTTTTTGGTAAAATTTGGCCAAAGTCCCTTGTACAGGGTGTTTAGCCCGATTTTTGCGCAGCAATTTTTAAAAGTTGCTTCAAATAGTAGTAGTTAATGTAATACATGTACAATAGCAATAGTATCTGAAGCTACAATACGGCATACCTTCTTTTGTCTTGTTGCATCTGCACTTTCTTGCCTTAATCTTTCTCTTTCTACAATGAAATTGTCAATAAATTATAAATAAAAA